ACCCCCCCCCCCCCCAATAACAACAACAACAAAATGGAACCACTGAAATAATTTATTTATTTTTTTATTTGTATTTCAAATTTAGACACCGCCCACCTCACAAGGAAGTGACTATTATTGCTATATTATGAAATAGCAAAAGTGACAGAGATGACGGTAGAAAGAATGGTCACAATAAGCAGTGCATCACATTTTCAAGGGACTGATAGTGGACAAAGTAATATATCCACATCTAATTCCACTCTAATTCATCATATTCATCATTGCAAGAAAATCTAGCCATTGTGTTCAAAATTTTAACTTTTCAATCATGTATCGTCACATATAGAAAAAAGGATAATTAAACTGCATGGATTGCATGGATTCAACCTATATATTTAGGAATAATGTGTTGCCATAGAAGTTGTTAACCAAAATATGAATGAACCCAAAGTGCCCATAACAACAACAAAAAGAAAAAATATATGATTATATTGGCAAAGCAACCAACTCAGCTAAAAAGTATTGACAGGGAAAATACATCGTGCATATGCTCAGTAGCATAATCTTCACTTTCCCAATGAAAGTTTTTGCAAAAAGTGCATACTCAAGAGAAAGTGCTGACCAAAAGTGATACAGTTGAAGAAATGCATGGTAGTATTTGTAAAAACTTGTGCATAGTTTTTATGTGACTTGTAAATGACAGAACTAAATATTAATGCATCCATTTAAAGAAGAATTTTGGCAAAAATGAAAAATTCAGAATTTCTCACCTATAATTAGTTGAGAAAAAATTAATTAACTAAACTAAACTAATACATTTATTACTCTACTGTTGCTTTCAAATTGATTCAACCATATAACACATCTTTCAAAATTTATTTGCTATAAAAATATAAATGAATTTTCACTAGTAATGCATTGTGTGGGTGCTTAAATAATGGTTATATCAGCAATTCAACCAATGCATCTTGAAACATGGTATTTTTCTTCACAGAACTGCACCTGATCTCTTGTCCTTCTTCCCCCAGCTCCATGTGCTCCTTCTTTTCTGCTGTTTGCATCTTGGTACTTCTGCAGATCTCACATACAGCAGGTAAACTGTTGTTTTGCAGAAAGTCCATGTCAATGACAAATTTGATTTCAAGGTAATAGCATATGAATATGTTTCATCATTGGGAAGCAGTCTGAGCAAGAATCATCTTCTTGGTTATACTGCACCGCCTTGCAGGGAAAATATGACAGTAATTGGGAACATGATCATATCACATCAAACTTCATTCCAGAGTCTATTCCTGATGGTGTCTCACTCCCATATCCCATCATTGAGATTCAGTTCAGATCAAAATCTTTATTTCAGTCATTGACCAGCATTACACTACACAATCAACCCAACAATTTAATCATAACAAAATAGTCAAAACCAGAAACACTGGGCTTAAATATGAGTTCAATCAGATAACAGAATAAGACAAAATGTTTATTTCCACTAATACTATAACTCTTAAATAACTATTGTTGTTAGTACTGATACTATAACTCTGTAATTCCCATTAAATCTATATTTCTGGCTATAAACTGGTGATTAGTTCTAAGATACATAAGCCAAGAAAAAAGACTTAAATCTAAAATTTCCATATTTACAAACCCAGAAGAGCAATTGCTTCTTGTCTGATTTTATTAGCAGCATAAAGAAGTTTGGCAACATCCAATGTGACAAACTGTCTGATCAAATAAGAGGAGTTGTATGTAAAATAAATTGGTATAGTTTGGATAGTTTATCAAATGAAGGGAAATAAAATTGACTCTAATCTCCCTATAAAACCAGCAGTGCAATAACACATGGACAGTAGAGTCAACATCATGCATTTTTCTGTAAGGTTATCCCTTTCATTTAGAGCCTCTGGATTGGTAAAAGATTCCAATCTCCAAAACTGATTTCTGGGCATTCATATCCTACAAACAAGGCAATGAAACTTGGAGGAAATGGGGGAAAGACTGCAAAAGTGTGATTTTTGCATTGGGATGACCTCTTGATTTGTTTCCGAAGGTAAATATTCAGTCAGACCACCAAATAATCCTGTGATTGGATACCTTGAAAAAGAAGTAATCCTGCCATGTCTGGTAGACACTCTGCAGCCACTTGCAAAGGCTAACATCAAAATTCAATGGATCTTGGAAAAATCAGAAAAAATTGAAGTGAAAAACTATAACAGAAACTATGGAGAAACACAAGATAGAAGATATGAAGGTCGAACAGAGCTCTTTCCTTCTCAGATTAATGAAGGCAACATGTCCCTGCTCCTGAGGAATATAAGTCTCTTTGACCAGGGACTATACACCTGTAAGATCTACCTTGATAACTGGTATGATAAGGTGGTAGTTCAGCTAGTTTTAGCAGGTGAGATTATTTTGTATATTTTTAAAATAAATCAACATTATTAGAACGCAAGGGATTGTGTTGCAAGCGCAACAGTGGAGAGAATACAAATTCTTTTCATTGCCACTTCATCGGTCTCCAACCTGATAGGAACTACGTTGCATCAAACTGCAAAGACAGCTCACCTTTTCTTTTCTTCCTCAAATTTCTTTTACAGGTTTTTTGTTTTTGTTTTTTTACTATTCTTCAGTTTGATGGGAAAATGCCTTTTATCCCTAAAGAATAAAAAATTATTGACATTTTCATCAATAGGTTCCATGACTCTTGCCTTTACCTGTGAGGTGGCCAAGAAACCTTTCTTTGTGAGATCTTATCTCCAATGAATTTCAGTATTCCTGGCTTCCCAATCTAAAATTAAAAGCCAAGGAAAGACAAAACAACACCCTCTACTCTGCATCTTATAGATCAGAAAGCATGAATACCTCCTATTAGCTTGCAACAAATGAGTAAACTTGAAATCAGCAGCTAATGAATATCTAAAGCATCCAGAAATTGAAGTAGACACATTTTTACAATGAAAGACAGGATGCTCACACACATTCTTTGACCTTCTTTTTGGGGGAAAAAAACTGCTTTGGGAAATTTTAATATCATCATCATCATCATCATCATCATCATCATCATCATCATCATCATCATCATCATCATCATCATCATCATCATCATCATCATCATCATCATCATCATCATCATCATCATCATCATCATCATCATCATCATCATCATCATCATCATCATCATCATCATCATCATCATCATCATCATCATCATCATCATCATCATCATCATCATCATCATCATCATCATCATCATCATCTTTCCCTGAGTTATTTACTTCACTGCTTTTTAAAACAGATAAATTTATTAATATAATGTTCTATTTTTTCCATTTATTTGAAGTAGAAGGCTTTTACCTCACTTCCCAAGTAGCCCAAATGTATAAGTATGTAAGTAAGAGAAGGAAAAAATTAATTAACTTTAAAAAAAACTGTTAGAGTTTTGGAGACATTCTGCATGTCAGGCAAATGCCATTACTACTATGCTAGCGAGAAAGATTTCACTAGGCTGCAGTAGACCTTACTGAGGAAAAGCTGGGAAAATGAAGTGAGGGGACTTTTCCTGCCACTGTACAGAAATCAATCACAGTGTAGGGATTTGTCTAGAACAACATTCCCCAAAATGGTCAATATCGACCCCCCCCCCAAGGGTCCATGAGACTATCCAAGGGGTCAATAACTGACTGAGGGTCAAAAGGGGGTTAGTAAATATCCGGGGATCAATAAGTGATTGATAAATGATGTAAGGTCAGTTGGGGTCAGTTAATCTTTTGGGGTCTTTGTGGAACTCCACAGCAATCCCTAGTCCTAAAGGTGAGGTGGCTAGCAGAGAGACAGTATTACCCAGGATTAAATGGTCAGCAACCAGTGAGAGTGGTCTTGAGCTGTCTTTATTATCATTGTTGCTGTTGTTCATAGTACTATTAATTAAAGTATTAATTAGTAATATTTATTAAATTAATAAATAGTATTTATTAAATTAATTTCATATAATAAATGTTTGGGGGTTGATGAACAATCTAAAACTTCATGAAGTGATTGATGAGCTGAAGAGTTTGGGGACCCCTGTTTGAGAAGAAAGTAAACCACAACAAGCAAGCTGGATAGCAAAACTCAAGTTGGCACAAGCTGGAGAATGCTACTTTGACCTTGAAACAGGAAAACATGGGTGGAGATTGTATTCATGGTGGGCTGGAGTTAAGTAGGAGACAACTTTGCCTATTCCTGCCTCCATAAACAGTTAGTGGGCTGTGCTCATCGTGGGCCAGTCTGGCAAGTGGATATCCTCATGACTGAGCCATTTAAAGATTCCATGAAAAGTCCCACCCCACCTAAAAATGGTTGCAGCAATGAGTATTTATTTATTTATTTATTTATTTATTTATTTATTTATTTATTTATTTATTTATTTTTCAAATTAGACAGCCGCCCATCACATATGTATGACTCTGGGTGTCTTACAAAGAATTAAAACAATAAAAAAAACCCCCAACAATTTAACAAGAAAAAAATAATGTAAAATTGTAAAAAACCATAATAAAACACATAAAGCTCATCATTTTGCATTTTTTAAAAAATACGGCATAAAAATCAGGCTCTACAATTCTCTCCATTAAATATGGGCTGTGTCAGTTTCCAAGTTCTTTCAGAAGAAGAATACTCTATACATAAGCCAAGAAAAAAGACTTAAATCTAAAATTTCCATATTTACAAACCCAGAAGAGC